TTGAAGTTGAGAAACTGATGTAAGATGTGATCTGTACTATCTCATGTCAATGTGACTAGTATCAGTAATGTCAATAACGATAATAACCACTTCTAGGTAACTTCAACACCGATTCACATCTCGTTCCTCATCTTAAACATTCATTATGTCGTTTCATCTTAATGATCACTCAACTGTTTTAAACACAGCTATTATCTGTTCTATCAGACTGTACCATCAGACACGGCAAATTTCTCAAAGTCTACGACCCTTCTCCATAAATTATTTCAATGCAAACACCTCATACTGCAGTGCAACAACAACTTCATCATATCGAACTCTTTATTCAATCAACGATCAATTTACATAAATGAATCTACATGAGCGATCATATCACAAATATTAACTCGTTTCATATCTTAAATACAATTAAGCAAAATTATAAATACAACACAGCAAAATGATCGAGCAATAAAATGAAATTGCACATATATTACCATCAAATTCTTCGCAAAGCAACGCTATCGATAACCCGAACCACGATCCAAACAAACCCATCAAGAGTGCGATTGAATCGAGTGGAACGAGTCATAAATTTGCTTAATTGCACAACTGCTGAGTGCATCAAGCAATCGAACAAATCCGGTATCTCGTGGCCGTTCCAAGCCTCGCTTGATTCGTTTCTTCATGATCGACACGAACTCTTTGTTCGACAGCTGACCATCCTTAAACAAATCAAAAATCATTCATCTCACAATATGACAATAGCAAATAATCGCATAGCCATAATCAATCAATAACCTGATTATCATCAAAAAGTGTGATCACGATATCGATCACATGATCCGATATCTCCCTGCCAACGATTCTCGTCGATAAACTCTTCAACACGTCGTGGTCTATCGATACTCCAGCCATGTGATAATAGTGTAGTGCCACGTCTATATCTTCCATATTATACAAAAAACAGAAGAACGCTTCCACCTCGTCCAGCGTTACTCCCTTAGTCAAATATCAATAAAAATAACAACATTAATAATAAATGGCAATTAATAATAACAATGATAATAATAACCTTACCTTCCTCTCTTTCGAATGCGCACCATACCGTTTCTTGACTCGTTTGAGTAATCTTCGTCTCTTCTGTTCAGGTAAACACGAATGCACCAATAAGAGATCAGCGAATGACACTTCTGTGATATATCCCAAAGGCATCGATTCCTCATCACGACGTTCACATTCTATTCTCAATATATCTCGATGCAGATGTGCCTTAATTTGTTACAATTTTGTTAAATAACAGTCAAAATCATACACTTGAAGCAGTGAACAAACCAACCTGAAAGAGCATGAATTTGTCGAGAGAGGCCTCCTCGTTTTCGTCGGGACCGAAGAAATACTTGGATAATGATGAATTGATCTGTTTCTTTGCACACAACCCGAGAGATACATGATCACGGTGGCGTGACGCCACTGTCGTTTGAGCCATTATCAATTCATAAAACATAAAATCAAGTTCATTTTCATACTAGTAAACAACAGTACATAGAGTACAATTAACCATTAACAGCAGACCTGAGCATGTTCGAACTCTTTCTTGTCAAGTTTTCCATTTGCATTCTTATCAAAAATTTTTAACGCCAATTCCAGATCTTTCGGTGATGCTACAATTAAAATAGTTTTCGTGGCGCTCATCAAAACAATAACAATAGTCACTGAACAGCATTTACGACAACAAATCGACGATCAATAATAAGAAAAGAAACCTACTTGACAAGAGAGTTAGTAAAAATATATAATCACTGAAACTGATCAACCCTCTCACATCCAACTTTGCAAATACACTATCCGGATGCGCAAATTCACTTTTGTCATTCTGAAATTGCTCNTGATCCAAGCCAAGATTTCGTGGCTGCATTACACCAGGTGTCAATGACCTCACAAAATCTTCAGGTGTCATATAAACATCAAACGGTTTTGATGATCCATCTTCGTTCAATATCTTAATTCGTTTATTTTACATATGAAACAAAACAACACTGTAATGATTTCGAAGATTCGGCGTAATGAAAACAATAAAAGTAACCTTCAAAGTAGCAAAATACCGAAATATTTTATCAGGAGTGGAATACGTTCTGATTCTATTTTCATACTCTATAATACGCCTGTCTCTGAAGCCATTTTTCTTCTTTTTTTTCTTCTTCTGCTTATCATCATCATCACTAAGTTCGCCATTATTGGTCAATCCATTCTCCTCGGATTCTTCAGCTCTGATCGTCGCCGCTTCTGGGCGAAATTTAGCACCGATATGACGAGCGTATTTCATAAAACTGTAAAATTCATTCAATCACTTAATCATCCCAAGCAATCTGAACATATTTATCGCTACTAATTTATTCAACAAAGACAATCAGATCAGCTGAAACAAACCCCTCGAAATCGATCATCAAAAGAATCATCCCACACAGCACCAGTGCATAATTCCACCAATACAATTTCCTCAACGGCTGCCATATGTACGGTCTGTTCGGATATATATGATTCGCAAAATCCGAATATCCACGTCCTGCGCTACGATCCGTGTAATGAAAGACGTCTTCTTTCTTCCTCCTTTTATTTCCTGAACCATTCTCCAACTCATAAATATGAATAATAAAAACACACAATAGTA